GAATCCCAAGCGTGGATGTGAGCTGCAAATAACACTCATATGTCAGGGAAACTAGCTAAGTCTCTTTTGGGTCACACAACCAAAGTGAGTCGAGCTCTCCCAAGAAACAAATGCAGCACTGAGAGAGGAAGAGACTGCAGTGGAGTATCAATACTGTAATAAGATGCAGAAAGCCACAGAGAGATGCTGAATAATCTGATTCTTCCTACGCAGACCTGAGTCCTGTAGTACCAGATCCCTCCTGACTCAGACGATCTGACTCATTCCGTGCCGTGCTTGTGACTTCACACGTTTTCTCTCATGACAATCCTTTTTTCTTCCCCCATGTAAATCCAAGTCACTTTGTCACGATGGGCACATTCAGTATGACAACATTTTCTGTATCAGAGTTGTTTTTCAGCTCTTTTTGCTGCTCCCCTACATGTCAAGCCTTAACCACATCCCTACCTGACACCCACTGCCTCTTCAAAACACGAGCACACACACACACAAACAACACATGAAAGGCTTACTAAAAATGAAAGACATAATTCCCAGTAACTTCTGGTATCAATACTAGCAAAGCAATCCATTGCTGAAAGACATGTCAGTAGGGACCACCTGAATAGGTAAGAGAGGAGTGTGACTTTTAGCACTGGACTGTCCTCACTCTTCACCTGCTACCTCTGGCCCTGTTTTCAGCTGTCCCAAGAGCTTCTCAAAGATGAAGCCTGTACATGGCTCCCACTAAAAACTGATGGGAAGGGGATGGAGAAGATTGTACAAAATTGTGGTCTAAATTAATCTCAGCCTTTTAACAAGTTTAAATCTTATTACACACTTTCCCACTGCAGACAGCACAAAAAATTAAGCTACTCCATTTCATATATCTTACCTTGTGCTATGGTTTTGAACAAATCCCTTGCTGAAGGTTCCTCTTTCCATTATTGACTAAAGCAGGAGCCTGAAAAATCTGTGAAGACTCGTTTGCTGTTTTTAATTACTAAAGTTAGTCAAAATGGGTTCCACTCTTGAAGTGGTCTGTGGTCTGTACTGTCTGTGTAGGTTGCCAGCTGCTCCAGGCAAAGAGGTGCCCTTCTTGGTAATTGTATTTTAGTCAGGAAATCCACTTCTTATGTGTGTTGATTGATATCCTGGGGATTTCAGATATCATGCACAGCCATGGAAAAGCTGTCTATGAAGAGCTTAGATAATTGTAAAATGATTTACAGTCAGGCATGGAAAGGCTTCTGCAGATCCAGCTATTGTTATAGTGCAGCTCCCTCCTCCAGCCCGGAGGAAGAGAGAGAAAATGCACAAAATATGTCTTTGTGTTTGATGACATGTTCAACGTTATACTTAGGAAAACAAGGATTCACATTTCGGCTACTGCAGTGAACATTTCAAACAAGCCTTTCAAAGAAGAAAAAAAAAACCTGTCCAATCCATTATCTGTAATTATAGCTCAGGAATTTATAAGGGGAGTAGGACTATATTTTTCTAGTAGTTTTGTTGACATCTTCAGTGTAGTATAGCTTAACACTTCTGCTTACCAGCTCTTATTTGCATACACTTCTTTGCATCCCTATGGGACAGAAATAAGTGGTACTGTCAAGATCTCCAAGGATTAAAACGGGGAGTTGGAACCTGCAATTCAGAATGTTGTGTGGCCCCATGGGCAGCTCCGAGAGGAGCAGGGAATGCAAGCTCAGACAGGCTGGAGAGCAGTTCCCTCACATAGAATCTCTAAAGGTTTTTGCACCTACCTTCAGTATCTTCAAACTGCAGAAGGGTAGAAACTACTGAAACAACAGAATCTGCAAATAGAAGTTAGGCATTAGGAAAAGGCCATGTTGCACCTCCTGAAGATAAAAAGCAGTGGACCTGCTTGCCAAGTATTCTGGCAAACCCAATACCTCTGCAAGCCCTTCCAGTGAAGGAAGATGTCTTTCTAAGGGTGTATGTACATTAAGCAGTGAAGCACTTTCTTGCAAACCCTAAGCAACATCCCATGCAGGTCTGCTGAGAGATGTCAGCTCAAGTCCTGGATGCCAAGTGGACGTGTCAGTGCAGGATTGCAAACAGAATTAATTAGCGTGGCACACCATTTGCTACTCTGAATAACCTCCACTGTTCTCTGACTCTTGAGGAATGTGTCCAGTTTTCCCTAAAATATAAAATTATTCACCATGTACTGACCTAATACAAAGTAGTTAATGGGTGCCCATACAAAGGCTTTGGCAAACATGAAGGCACTTGGATTCAGCCCTTCTTAAATATGCACTTTACTGTCCTTAATGGAACACACAGTTGTGCTATAGCACATTGCATTGGCAAAGGGAAAGATTCCGTGATGTAAACATGGTACAAGGGATACCACCAGTGTGAGAACACAGCCAGTGCCTGACTCTGACTCTTGCATAGTGCCAAAAAAACTTGTCTGGGTTAATGTTGCCAATATTATACTACATTACATTCATAACATTACTATTACATAAAACTGCACAATTCTAAGGCCAGCATGTAGCACACCATCTTCCTTCAAGTGTATAAAAGCAAGCACCAATGAAGTTTGATTTATTATGGAAAATATCAAATACTTTAATATTACTTTCATAAGGAAAATCTGTTTTTATTTTCTGTCTTGGTTGTAAAAATAAAATATTTCCATTTATACAGAGCCAGAGTTAGTCTTTGGTTGGATACATTCTTCTATCGTTATTGAGACAGATATGATATAGAACACAAATAAAGCTTCCTGAAATGAACTGAAATATATTTTCCAGTCTCCTTGTCCTCTCCATCTGCCACATAATCGTGGTCATAGCAACATCATTCCATGGATGATGTGTTTTTCTTCTGCTTCTATTCTAACAGGTTGTCAGAATCCCAGACAACCAAGCCCAGAAGGATCAGAAAGGATTGAGAAGGGAGAACAAATGGAAGTAGACACAGGTAGGTCTGGCACATCCACACTTGCAGGTGACCTGTTGTGTTTCTACAGCCCATTGCTTTCCTCTCATAGAGATTGTGGTGGGCATGGCTGCCCTTCTGGCCTTTTGGCAAATAACTGAATCCTTTTTGGTTTTCTTTCCTGTAAGAGTGGGTCCAAGCCGAACAGACCTCAAGTTTCCATTTCAGTTTCTTTACAGAAGTTAATGTGCAAGAAGTGAAGCTAATTTGGTAGCTACTTCATAAGCGTTTACGCATCTCAGTTTAAGAATGGTGGAATTTCCTGGGGGAGAGAAAAGGAAAAATGGAAAGAAATTAAATATTTAGAAATTATAGGGGAAAACAAACAAACAAACAAACAAAACCCAGCAAAACTGAAAGTTAAGCAGAGGGACAGAAAACATTTAGTCCTGCACAAATACTCAAATACTTTTCTCCTGCTGTGCTCTGAAAGAATCAGAGTGTCAGCCAGGCACCCTACTATCGATTCCTCTGCTCCTACCTCTCACATCAACAGTAGATAGAGATTAAATTCAACATTGTTAAAATGCAGGGAATAGCTATAAAATGAACCCTTAATGAAGGGGGCAATAGGTCAAAAGAGCACGTTTGTTACTCACTAATCCAGTAAAACCTTTCAATCTGCTGAGCAAAATACCTCTGTGCAACGCTAAAATAAATTAGTAGGGTCTTTCTGGTGGAGACAGTTCACGTGTGAGATAATCTCAGGAGGTCTGAAAGTCATCACAAGAGACATGCTTCTGCCTTTTAGTGTAGTTGTTGTGGTACCTTCCATGCCTTTCACATTTTAAATGATTACATAGTAGTCCTCAGGCTCCCCACACCGAATATGCCTCGATGGGACCAGCCCTTGGTTCTTCACATACTGCTGCTGCTTTTGGAGGCAGTCTGTGATTATTGAAACAATCTTTTTTTTTTCTTGAGAGGTTAAGATAAAGTGTCAGACAGAGAAAAGAAATACACATAATACACAAGAAAAGATTCAAGGAGCAGCTTGCTAAAGGATGTCGGGGATGTAAAAAGTTTATGTGGATTCAAGGAGGGGATTGGGCAGGTACTAAAAAGTGAGTGCTAGTCAAAGGTTCTGGGCAGACAAATCACACACCAACCTGACAAAAAAAAATATAAACTAGCCCTCATCTCTTTCACCTCTTCAAACAGCTGAACTTTTCTGAATCTCAGAAAATTACATCCACAGACTTGGAAGCTTTTTTGTTTTAGAGAAATTCAGTAAGGAATCAAGCATTCATAAGAAGCTAAATGATATATTTTGACACAGCCACGATCCTTGCAGGATATACTTTTTTTTGGTCTCAGAAAGTGTTTTTGCAGAATACATATCATTGATGAATGTTCATAAATGTTCACGGTCCAGAGGCAATAAATATGGAATAATACAGTGTACGAAAATATTCCCCAGACAAGGCTATCTAAGAATATGGGACCAGATTCCAGCATACCAGGAAAGTGAGAAAATATTTTGATGTCAGTAAGAATTGCAATTAAAGTCCTTTGTCAGATTTCAGGAGAAAAAATAATCACAGTGTTTTTAAAAAAGGCTGAAGCATTATAGTAACCTAATTCCACATGAATGGCTACAAAAACCAGTTTGGTTTTCTGCCGATCAAACTCTGTTTCCAAGTACTTGCTGCCATAGACAACACAAAATAAAAATCAGCAGAGATTTGAAAAATAAAATCATGCCAGACTTTTTTTTATTTTCTTTTGCTTGTGGCTCACAACTGGATGTAGCATCTTTATAATTTTGTAAAAGCTTTTTAGATTGAGTTTTTCTGGTCTGGTTTTCCCACCCTCTGACAAATAGTAACAACCTTCAGCTGGTATTACATCCTATATTTCACACTCCCAGCTCTCTAAATCCCACATTTCTGATTCTGTGAATGCATCAGCTACGGGAGCTGATGCAAGTGGCTGGAACCTCTGTTCATACTCTATAATCTAATGCACTTAGCGAGCCAATGAATATGTGTGAAAGGAGGGGCTTTCTGGCTGAGGGGCTCCGTGCAGGGGAACAGCTGTTGAACAGCAAAACCTTACCCAGAGCCAGGCACACACACTCACTCACATCCTCAGTGGCTTTGTGCATCCAGGTCTGCCAAGACAACTCCACCCACCCCTCCTCTCTCTGCAAAAAGTGAACAAACTAGCACAGAGAAACGTAAAGAAGACCAAATCTCAGCTGTGAAACATTTCAGCAGATCAGTAATGGCCTGGATCAGTAATATCTCCTGGTTAAACCACCTTGCTCTACAGGAAGAACGTTTCAGGGGGTACTTAAACAGCACTGAGGATTACTTAGCCTTCCTGTGTGGGCCCAGACGGAGCCACCTGTTCCTGCCCATGGCTTTGGTGTACACCCTGATCTTCATTGTTGGGGTGGTGGGGAACTTCTTAGTTTGCCTCGTAATCCTCAAGCACCAGAACATGAAGACCCCGACCAATTATTACCTCTTCAGTCTGGCGGTCTCGGACCTGCTCGTGCTGCTTTTCGGGATGCCACTGGAAGTCTACGAGATGTGGAGCAACTACCCCTTCCTGTTCGGGCCCGTCGGCTGCTACCTGAAGACAGCGCTCTTTGAGACGGTGTGCTTTGCCTCCATCCTCAGCGTGACCACGCTCAGCGTGGAGAGGTACATCGCCATCCTCCACCCCTTCCGTGCCAAGCTGAAGAGCACCCGCAGGCGAGCCCTGAGGACCATCCTGGCGCTCTGGGTCCTCTCTGTCCTCTTTGCCCTCCCCAACACGGGCACCCATGGCATCATGCTGCAGCATTTCCCCAACGGCACCCTGGTCCCGGGCTCTGCTACCTGCACTGTGGTCATGCCCTTGTGGATCTACAACTGTATTGTCCAGATTACTTCTCTTCTCTTCTATGCGCTGCCCATGGGGGTAATAAGTGTGCTGTACTATCTGATGGGGCTAAGAGTAAGTCTTACTCCAGCTGTGCTGTGTTTCCTTGGCTCATTCTTGTGTGTTTGTGTCTGTATGTGTCTTTCGAGTGCTTGCACCTTTTTCTTGCCCAGCTGGTTTCCCCCAAAAAGGCAGAAGTATTTCAAACCTCTGGAAAAAAAAGAAAAAAAAAAAAGTAGATCCAAATCCTTCTTTGGTGCAATCCTATTCTGAAATTAATGTTAGGGGATAATCTACCCCAGTCTTTTTATAAAAACTTACCATCACTGTTGCTCACATCCGAATGTCACTGAAACACCAAAGTCTGTGGATTGGTTCCAGCCTCTCAGAGATTTACACCTTTGCAGCAGGGACTAGAAGGAAATGTAGCAAAAGTAAAATGTGAAAAGAATAAAAACAAGCAGGCTAGTGATTGAATCTTGTGTATTATTTGTTTTCCCTTTTCTTGTGACTGTGGAATTTCCATTGCATTAGTTTCTTTTTCTCCTTGGTGATAATATTCACTTGTTAAAACTCACAAAGCTCTCATAAACTGAAATGGTACCTTATTGCTGCTGTTAGCAAATTAAGCAATCATTTCCTTATATAACTGCAGCACAGTTTCACCAGACTATCTTAGAGCTTATTTTCATTCTCTCTTCAGAAAATGAGTCTAGTTTTACCAAGTATCCATCATGTAAATGTGTAGATAAAACAATCAGTAACACAGTATTATAAAGCTGTGTAGCACAACTCTGGAATACACTGCTAATCGTAGCTAGTTGATGACTTTTTTTTTCCTCACACATTACAGATATTTTGAAAATATAAATACCATCTCATCACACTGGGTATAACTTAAAGTTTACAAAGATACGTCTGATCATATAGCAAAAAAGGGAGAGGAATGAACTTATTAAATAATGTGCATGAAACTCAACCAAATCTCTGCTGGTGTATATATAATTTTGTTTTGCTGGCTGACATTTACTGTTAACTGAAATTATACAGAAGCAACTTTTACTCTACCCAGGAAAAAAAACCAAGGATTAACTGCCAGAAATCCATAGCACACAACAGATCCTCAAAGCAGTGAATGGGTTAAATTGTCCACACTGCCCAGTGGCTGTTGTGGGGTCTTAATACGGTTTTGATGAAAATTTTGCAAAACAAGACCTGAAGGGAGGGAAAAATTTTGTAAATATGGATATTATGAAAAGAAAAAGAGAAATATCTGAATTGATAAAAAGAAGACTTGAAGATTGCAATAACTTCTATTTGCAGCATCAGACATTCCTATACCCCATCCCAGAAGAGAAGCTCGGTACCGAATGAAGGCTGCTCCCCCAGGACTTCTGTAAATTCACAGATACGTTCAAGCTGTCTCTCCTAAAGGCAGTAATGTTCATTGTTTGTGGGGTTTTTTTTCTGTATATCCAGCTCAGACTTTCAAATTTTAAACAGCATCCATCCTGACCAGATCTGCATTATGCTCCAAACTGCACTAGGCAAGATAATTTCATTTCTTCAACAGAAATGACAGAAGAATGATGTATATATATTGTTTTTCAAGAGGAGACACTTTTTATCTGCTCACGAATGATGAAACCTATGAAGCTTTAGCAACACTCTGTAGTCTCCTGAGTGCCATGTATCCCTCACAGAATGTAGAGGAAAAGCTCAGTGTTATTCCAAAGGTTGTACAACAGCTCAAATTCAGCAGTGACATAGCCCTTCCACATCCAGGCTTTGTAGAAAGGGCATTTCCTTGCCACAGTTTCTCCCTCAAGCTTTGCCAGTGCTCAGGATGCTCAGGAGAGTCTCAGGATGCAATAGAGAAAAAAATGTGGGACATGTCACATGTCATGAGAGGGCAGCAAACATGGGTCATAGGGTACCTGTGTTAATTTTAAATTTTATTCCTTGGAAAAATGAACAGATCCATCCGGCTGATTACCTCGTGATCAGTTACCTCATGATCTACTTGGGTATCGTTTTAAGGCTTGATGATTTAATAATAATTCATTGATGTGGTCAATAGATAGTTCCGACATCAGTATAAAGAAGAGGACACTGATGATTGCACTGCAGCCTCATTAGATTTAATTGTGGAAGCTTCCTTCTGCCTCTTTCATAGGGTTCTCACCACAGGTACCTTTAGGATCAACCCCTAAATCATCCAGGCTCTTTAAACCCGGTCCAGCTGCTGGACTACTGGTTGCAACCCATAGCCAAAAACCTGAGGAGGAAGAGGAGAAGGAGAAGATGAGATCATTGGGAAATGGCTGCTCATGGAAGTTAATCCCTGCAGTGCTGATAGAGATGGGGTGGGACTGTTCGGGAAGAAATCTGTGTTGCAGCAGGAGTCAGTGCAAGGTCCCTGTCCATTTCTTTCAAACTGATCTCTAAAAGAACACAGGGGTAGGTGCTTATCACTGCTTGTCTAAAAGTCAAACTTTATTTAACAAGGACTTTTGACAGTGAATTAAGAGAGTGGAGAGTCCACAGACATATTCTCCTACCCGCTTCAGACATCTGTGAGGGGATCTAGACAGTCAGATGACTTTTGCCTAGACAGGATGATTCTTCTGCCAAGGTTCAACACTTCTCTTAGTCTCTCATCCCCTCAATAATACATTGGACACACTGGAAATTTTTATTTCAGCTGTCTTTGAAGCAAGACAACTTACTCTTGCCAATGCATATCTGGTCCAGATTTAATCATCAAAATCTACTTTGCCCCCCAGATGCCCAGTTGTTAAAACCAAAATCATCTGTGGACAGTGACTGCCTTTGTTGAATTTCTGCAGAGCCCAGCACATCTCTGGAAGGGTCCATCCCCTTTCCATGGAAGTTTTCAGCAAACCTTGCCCCCACTGACACGTTCTCCTTTGCCATGGGGTTGAGCTAAAAGCACACTAAGGCTGCAGTGGAGCAGCAGATGGCAACAGCTTCAGCCAAACCCTCAGAACAATCACAACTGCAGGCTTTGGCATAAGCCTTGTAGTTTTTAAGTATTAATTTTTCCTTCAGCTGGAGAGAAAGTTTGTTCACCAATAGTGTCAGATAGGCCAAGGAGTTTACAGAAAACATTTCTGCTTTTGTAGAGTGGCCTCACTAGGTTTGCCTGGGGATACGTTAGGCCCTAATTTTACTCTACCTTCTGATTTCTGGTATGAAATCCTGTAGCTAATAAAGATGTGGGGGGGGAAATCCAATTTTCAGCTTCTTGCTCCAGTCACTTTTAATTCTTTTTCAGTGAAAGGGTAGTTTGCATCTCCAGGCAACCCTACACAGCCTCATACATCACAGTGATGTAAAAGTAACCACTACCTTGGCTGGAGTTCCCTCAAACCATTGGCATTCGCTCAAGTTACAACCTTTGCCATGGACTCATTTATTTATTTATTTTTCCTCCTTCTTTGTAATAATTCATTTTTTTATTAAACTCCAACTGCTGAGTTATTCTTGCTAGTTACACCTTCATCCCTTGAGGCTAAAGGGGAGCCTCCCAGCATCATCAAAATGACAGGAGGAAGGTGAAAAATAAAGATACATATGTCTCTGGTTTATTACAGCATCAGAACACTATATTCTCTGAGGCTTTGGACCATGCCTGGAATAGATTACTGTTGAGATTGAAAACCACTGAAGGTAAACTAGGGGGTTTAATCAATCTGAGCAGACGTTTGTCGCTACATGTGTTACAAATCAACTGAGGCTCTTCCTTAAGCAACTGTGGCTATGACTAAAAGTTACAAAGGCAATAATGTAAAACATGAGAGGCTGAATTGCACTATAATTGATTATAATCCCATTTACATGGTTTTCCATTTTATAAATAGAATAAAGAGAACATTGAAAAAAGGTCTTACGTGATCATCCTGAGAGAAAAGTATTATTAATCAGAAATCAGAAAGCAAAGTCGCAGTGTAAAAGGCAAAAGCAAATGGCACAATTAGCATGTTTTCACAAGACTTTTACAAATACAGAATGATTTCTATCTTTTTCCTCATTCCTTATATTCTCTCCCATGTAATTAAAAGTTTTTCTTCCAGTTTCTCTCAGTCAAAAAAGCATCACTCCAAAGCTGTTGGCTAATCAGAAGTTCCCACTTCAGGAAGCTGGGACCAAATATGCACTTTTCATACATGATCTCTTCTGTACTCAAAGCAATCCTGTTTATCTAGACCTGGTATTTTCATCACCAAAGCACCAGTGCTCTCACCATAAGCATATTGGGGAAGCAGTTCAGGGAGGATCAGATTATTGCTCTTTATGTCCATTTTTTAGAAGTCCAGGAAAAACTACTGGAGAAAACCTCACATTGTTGTAACTGAGCAGTATGTGGCTGAATCTGTGTATCATGCACCCCGGAGGTGCAGAGAGCATATTTGGGTTTTGTTCATTAGATGGGTTGAATATCAATTAGTCCAAACCACTCAGGGCACGAAACAAATTCCTTCGAATTTTACAGAGTTTTTTCCAATGATTATAACTGTGTTACACTGAGGACACTCTGTGTATTTTTTTTATCATTGGTTTGTGCTTAATTGTGGGGAACCCTATTAGGAAAATAAACAAACAGTATCTTGCCAGAAGAGAAAATAATGCCTAGCAAAATAGTGTTGAAATTGAACACAAACTGTGAACCAAATATTGACTCACTGAGGAAAAACAAGTGGGGAAGTGAAATACGAACTTGCTGTAAATATGCAGGTTCAGATGCATAAAATCTGCAGATTGTTTAGAATCTAAATGTTCAGTGTTTCTCTGGAGAAAAAAACGAAATTTAGACTTTTTTCAGTGAGTCCCAAGTTGCCCCCGGTTTTGCTTTCTCAAACTGCAATTATCAAAATATCAAGCAGGCTATGTCTGGTGGGAATGTGATCTCTTGTCTAAGCTCTCCTTTGGTTTCCCTCCTTCTGCCAGTTGAAAGGAGATGAAACTTTGGAAGTAGAGGAAATGGCTGTGAATGTTCAGAGACCATCCAGGAAATCAGTCACAAAGATGTTGTGTAAGTAGTAAGTCCTTCTGTGTTTTATTTACAGTGGACAGGAGGGTGACCAGGTCCTAAAGGGAATCAAGCAAATTCACTGGATACAAGAGTTATGAGTAGCTGTTATTTAAAAAAAAAAAAGGCTTATTGCTGTTTTATCTGGATTTATAGGGCATGGAAGTGAAACACCATGGGTATCTACCAAAAGATTCAGAAAGAAAATTTTCCTCCCCAGCATGAGAGGAGTTTGAGCAAACCTACATGGCAGATGCTTGCATGGCAATTCTCCAATATCCCTCACTCCAAACTGGCTCTTGCAGCCCTCTAGGGAGGATCTCTTTTTTTTTCCAGAGTGCAAATAGTCTATCTTGTACATTTATAAAGGATGCACATCTGTTTTGCATTACACCATGAGCTCTGCTAATGAGCAGAAATCACAGAACCACAAGATGGGTCAGGTTGGAAGGGACCACAGTGGGTCATCCGGTCCAATCTCCCTGTTCAAACCAGGTCATCCCAGAGCACACGGCATAGAATTGTGTCCAGACAGTTCTGGAATGTCTCCAGAGAGGGAGACTCCACAGCTTCCCTGGGCAACCTGTTCCAGTGCTCGGTCACCTGCACAGTGCAGAAGTTCCTCCTCATGTTCAGGTGGAACTTCCTGTGCATTAGTTTCTGCCATTGTCTCTTGTCTTATTGCTCAGCACCACCAAGAAGAGCCTGGTCCATCCTCTTGACACCCTCCCCTTCTGATACCCATACACATTAATGAGGTCCCCTCTCAGTTGTCACTCTTGAGACAATCCTGCCAAGCTACATCCATCACCTACTGCTGGCTTAATCACTTAGACCTTCAAAGAAAAGTTGGACCTAAGCAGACTTGCACATTGTATAACATTCAAGAGAATTTATGCCTTAATCACCTTGAAAGCATTCACATCACTTCCTAATTTAGGGCTGTCTTTAAGGCAAAGAACACCTTGCTACTGAGATGGTGTTTATGCAGGAAACATAAATCATTTTCACTATTTTCTGTAACATTATTCTTTCAGACACCTTAAGTCAGTGTCTGAACCAGGAAATTGTAATTTGAAGCCAGCCTGATTTTCAGTGCCTGGAATGGGTCTAGGTTCCATACGTGCCCCAACATTACCTGGCTGTTTCCTGCTCTGTTTGAATGTCACTGTGTGTGCATGCATTGGGTTATCCAACACAGAAACTAGCGGAAAGACTGTTCTTTTAGCTGGTAATGGTAAGACAAAAAGTATGGCAAAAGTTTTGAAACCATTAACATAATTTGTATATTTACTCTTTCATTCAGCTTTTTGAACTCTCTCTGCTCTCTGCAGGCTAGTGAACCATATGCCCCCATTACTGACCTGTTTTTCTTCTCCCCTTTCTCCATGCCAGTTGTCCTCGTGATAGTTTTTGCTATCTGCTGGGCTCCATTCCATATAGATCGACTTTTCTTCAGCTTTGTTGTGGAGTGGACTGAGCCTTTGGCTAACACATTCAACTTAATTCATGTGGTGTCAGGTAAAGCTTTCTTCTTCCACTTGCACAGGGACTGGGAAAAAAAAAAGTATTTGTGAATGGTTTACTTGGAATATGTCTTCATTTACTTTGTAGGTGACATGAGACATGCATGGAAAACCTTCTCAGGATTTGGTGGGCAGTGATGAGAATAGTGCCTGAATAAAAACTACATGCAATTTTCTGCAGCTTCCAAGATCTGGATGTCTTGTCCAATACAGTGTCTGAATATTCACAAAGAAGGAAAAAAAAGTATACCATGCAGCATTACCTGCTTTTCCTTCTTGGGAATGTTCAGAAGTGAAGCCTGCTGTTGTTCAGCTGCTTTTAACAAGTACACAGGAACAAGCATCATCCTCCACAGGGTCTCTGGGGCAACTGGGAAACCTTACCAAATGGCAAGACAAAAGACTTACCTGCTGCTCAGAATGGGTGATGAAACCAAATGTTTATGGCCTTGCCAACCATAAAATGAAGGCTTTTTCCAAAAGGAATCATATTCTCAGTCTGCCATGGGAAAACACTGAATGTGGCCATTAGGCAACTCAGACAAATCTGATCTTGTGCAGTTGTCCTGGTGTGTTGTAAGAAATTAGCTTCCCTTGGCTGGAAGTTGTCCTCTGACAGCTCTGATGGGGACACCAGCTGTGCAAACCCTGCTGTGGGGATGAGGGCAGTGCTGGAGGCAGGGCAGGGCAGCTCAAGAGAGAGCTGGTTCCTGAAGAGCTGGAGAGAGTGAGCTCCAATTAACAATCTCTCCCACTTTCTTTTCACTGCAACTGCAGTGTATGAGCTAATCTCGGTGAGACATCCCTCTGCCTGTGCCAGGAAGGCAGCAGGCAGAGCTCTGCTGTTGCTGTCTCCACCCTTGCACCAAAGCTTGGTGGAGCTGTATAGGCAATGAAGAGATTTTCCTCTTCTGAGATCGTTTCACACATAAATTAATCTCTCTCTCTCCCCCAGGCGTTTTCTTCTATCTGAGCTCTGCCACGAACCCCATCATTTACAACCTGTTGTCCCAGCGCTTCAGGATGGCTTTCCTCAGTGTGATTTCTCCTTGCTGTAAGCACTGGGCCCCTGAACATCCCACTTGCAAGATTTCTGCCCAGAAGAGCATGTTTGTGATTGAGGGTCACAATCTCATGGACTCTGCTGAATACATGAGTGCCCCTGGCACACACAGGACATCTGTCAGCAGTTCTCAGCTCTCCACTGGTCTGTGACTTTCCATGTGATGATCCAGGTGAGAGAGAAGTTAAAGAAAATTGCTTTAAGAAAACAAAAAGAGAAGAGGCCTTCCTAAAAGACTGATTTCAGCAAGAAAAGATTGGAGAAGTGTCTCATTGAGTAAATTAAGGAGAAGATTGTATTTAACATATGTTTGAGAAGCACTATATTACACTTGAGCTAATAGTAGGGATGGGAATCTCAGCTTGCTCACTGCAAGCTGTGCCAGTGAAGAGCTGCTTTTAAAAAGTGAGACACACTCCCAATGTTACCAGCAGAGGAGAGAGACACAGCTTAGCCAAGTCTTATCAAATGGCCTTTTGTGCACCAACCTAAACATCAGCGTTTACTTACTTTGAAATGAGGCAACTTGCTGCATAAGCCTTATCTATATCTAGGTTTGGGTAAGCCAGTCCTGCTTCTCTCTCTCATGACCTTCTCCAGGTATGGCTGTTGCAAACCTCTCTTGTCAACATGAGCAAGTAGGCAAGAATGAGAGCAGCTCTGAGCTGGGCTGATAGGCATCAGAAACCAGTAATAGCTATTTCTGGGCCAGAAGAATCAGGGAGCCAGTAATTGTAAAATAAACACAAAGCAAAACCTTTGCTTTCTGAGCAAGGTAAAGATCTGGGTGGGGGGGAGTGATTAATGCAGCTGGTGGGGGACATCTGCCCAGGGAATGTGCATCAGACAGTTTTATTTTTGCCCATCCACCTTTGCATGTACAAATGGGTAGGTCCCTGCTATACCCCATTTCCTGCTGTTTGTGAGAACTTCTTATCATTGCTTCAGCTTCAGATACTTATGTGTTGTCTCCACCAGTGGAGCCTTGTGGTTGTGCTTCAGCAGATTTCACACCTGCCTGTACCAGGTGGATTGCAAAGTCAGAGATCTACATGGATCCAGGAAACAGCCTGGACAACATTGACAACACAGGGAACTGAGGCAAACCTAATACAAAGGTAATAAAAACGGGAATTTTGCAGTGATACTGCAACTACTGAATTCAGATTTTGCCATAAAACACAACATAGGTCCAAAAAACTTTCCTGCATCCCAGTTGTGCAAACAGGTCCTGAAGGCAGCACACTTACATCTGAGCTGATGAACTGATGAGCTCTGCTGACTGCAGGGACAGGATGCTACAGACTTGTGTCAAAGGAGGTCAGGGGGAATCCATTACATGACAAAGAATTCTGTAAGACTCTCTGTCCCAAGTTTCAAAGCCTGTTCATTGTGTTTCAGAGAAATGCCTCCCCTGTGCCCCCTGACACAGGGCTTGGTTTAGCCACTGCTCTGGGCTCAGGCTTGGCACGCACTGCCACAGAAAACCATCCCATGTGTGTTGTCAAGGGACTGGGAGTTACTCTCATAGTCAGAGTACACAGAGTTATCACAACGAATAGGAACATTAGTTCCTGAAAGATGATACACTGTATGCATGAAGGCTTATTCCAGGTCACTGGGGATCCAGATGACACTTCCCATCACAGGTGGAAGGGGCTGTACTCCTTTTCCGTGGCTTCTTATTTTATTTCCCCCAAAGTCTTCTGTTTGTCTCTCTCTGTGGGACTCTGAGGTGAGGTGAGACCTGGGAGGCTCATGGAAGCTGGTGAGTCATCTTGCCCTGTAGCACAAGGGGAATTTTAGACCATGTTTTCTCTCAGACCCATTTTACCATCTGCAGTCTTGTCGAACAAGCCATGGAGAGGGTAAGAGCTACACGATAGGCCTGCAGAGATAAGGTAATTCCTGTTCCCTGAAGACACAGCTGAAATGCTTTGCCACCCCCAAGTGGACACTTGCGTTTTATCATTAACATTTCCATTTCCAACCAGTTTTGCATTATAATTTTTCCCTCTGCCAGACGTAAAAGTGTGATTTCCCTCTGGACTTGCTGTACCAGTGGTGCCTTGCTGCCTGTGAGCTGCCCAGGTCTCTGTTCTCCTGCTGGGCTCTGAGCTCTGTGCTCCCACTGACTGTGCTCCCACAGGCTGGGGGCCACCTGGGCAGAGCCTGGGCTGGATTTCCTCCCTCACTGAGCTCAGGAGGTTATCCTCCTTATCCCAGCTGTGTTCCACTGAAAGCAGGTCTTCTCTGATGTCCTAGACACCCACCCATGAGGAGATGGTGTAGTTTGACATACTCACACATCCACCATACGATGGAGACGTTCCTCTATGGGATTTTGTGGCTCTTTGGATGCATTTTATGCATTTAGGACCAGATGGCATTTTGTGTTGGTGCACAGAGAGCCAGCCATGAGTGACGCCGCTCTCTCCTCTCTTTATGGGAGAATCCCAAGCTTTGGCTGCAAAGCTCAGGGTGGATAAATGCACCTCATGACTTGCAGATGAGCACACAGATCTGCAGACAAGGTTGGGCTGTGAAGTTGTAGGGTGAAGATTTTGTGTGGTCTTAGACAAAACAGCCACATTTTTGTTCCCAAGGAGGACATAGGGTTTTGTGAGTAAGGGGAAGAAGGGAGTGGGAGGAATGTGCATGGATGGGGAAATTTTAGAAGAGAAATAGTGAGAAGACAATCATCAGGAACTCACCTGGGTATGAAGTAATTTATTCTTTTGTCCTAAAAGGAGTTTTTATCACATTTCATTTGGTGTCAGTCAAAAGAAGTGACACTCATAACCAGAAATTACTGGGCTTTTTTTGGCTAAATATCAAAACCAGAGATGAAAACATTTAGGTTTGCACCAAATCAAACCTTCTGTGAAAGTGTTATTGGGAGAGACATGTCAAAATTCCTCTAAATTCTGATAAAATAAATGCAGTGGAGAAAGTATGGACTGACTGGAGACTCCAAGTTAAGTTCCCTGTGACTGCACAGCTCAGTACTCTTCATTCCTGAGGGATGCACTTTGTCTCTACAAAGTAGTCAATGTCCACTAGAGGCTTTTCTTCCTAAAAGGTTGGTGCTTGAGTTATTTATCACTCTGCTCTGATATTTACTTGGCTGCATTTTGGAAGCTGAATCCAAACACGAAAAAACGGGAAGATGGATAGAGATGTCATGAAAGCCGATTCTATTCCTTTATTTATACATTAACCAGCTTTCATAGCCAAGTGCTGAAAAATGTTGGCAACTGGTTGAGAAAAATTCGTGTTGCAAGAAAACAGAGAACAACTCACTTTCCTCCAAAGTGGTCCAGTGTGATGGAACTGTATTTATTTGAAATCAAGCGTGTCTTCCTAGACAGAACTGTCTATTGATTTATTTCTCTGCTTCTCTTTCCCTCTGGCAAACATGCAAGTGTGTGAGCAGAAAGTGTGGAGAGCAGGGGCAGTACTGTGAACAAAACATGAATAGTCTGAAATGTACTGCAAGGAAACACTCAAAGGAGAGAAGAATTGTGTTCATCACCAGTGAGTGATACTGTGATCTAATGCCAGATTCAGTTGGAAAAGACACCATGACAGCAGGTGGACAATTCTGCTAAGTTTACCCGAAGAGTTTCTGAACACTACTGTGTTTTGAAGTGTTTCAGCCACAGCTTACCAGTAAAACTAAATGTACACTTCAGCTGCAGAGCTGATTATATGTATCTGTGTGTAATATGAAAATAAATATACTAGAGTCTCTCTTCCTAGGCCTGGTCCATCTTCCAGCAATCCTCAAGCTTCTTGTTTCTCCCTTAGATTTCATGTGAGTAGCAGAAGGTGGAGATTCCCCAGAGGCAAGAACCTCACCTGGAGAGTCAAGGGTTGCTGATTTTCTTACACATTTCATTCCATTTACATTTAGATTAGTCAACAGCCTGCTTAGGTCACACCCCAGACACCAGAGAGCTGAGCTCATTTGCCACCAGAAGTAGGAGGCTTTCTGTTACTGTCTAGATTTATTGAAACCCTAAAAAATTGCAGCTGATATTTTTAAGGCAAATTATCTTAAATCCATTTAGTTTTTAAAGGATTCATTTTAGGTGTATGGAAGCTGTTGGAATAATTTGCTTTCCAGTAGGATAGCTAATTCTTGAATTAAATACTGAGGTGTTTACTGTAAAAGCCCAAATAACTTTTTTCATGCATCCTCAGCTTATACTATGTTATGCAATGCAGCAAGTTCCTCCCCAGACAAATAGGCTTTTGTTTGATTTTTTGGCTAGAAGTGGGCTTTCCAGAAGACCCTTTGACTCAGATATCTATAAGATGAAGATCACCATCAGAGGAAATCTGTATTCCTCTTCTAGTCAAATGAGGGGGGGGGAAGCCATGCTAAAATCAATTTATCTGATCTATTTCAGTCATCTACCTTAGGGGTTTTACAGGTAGTTTTTATGCATATCTTTTATGATTGAAAAACACAGCTAGGCAGCCAGATACAGGTCACCTTGAAATGATGTGTGTTCTTTGTTGCAGAGCAGATATGTTTATCAGACCCTTTCAATTTGTTTCATTTCTTCAGAACCCAAGAGCCTCCCTTAGAAATGACTCACTAGGAAAATCATGCTCTAAATGAGCAAAAGAAATGGCTAACAGCTAATTCACCTCTAAACAGTGTAAGAACAGCATCCTCAGGGCTTCACCTACCATTTTGTTTATTGATCTGGGGTTGGTGCCTCTGGGACACCTGGACCAAGCTCTCACAAGGTGGGGAAATTCCAACAGAGCTCTAGCACTTGTAGGGTTTGCAGCATTGGTTTGCAAGCTTGCAGTTTTCTTTCCCTTACTTCTATAGGAGCTGGCAAGGGTAGGAAAGATATCTGTCCTGCCAGAGAACGTGCTAAACACCTGCCTGAACTCAATGGAAAGTCTCCAAAGAGAAGTTTTTTCATGCTGCTGTTGACTGCAGTGCAGGTGGGTTGGGCAGCACTGAGCAACTGCAGCAAAAAACTACAAGACTCAAGGTTTTGAAAAACAGAAGAACTCACCAGACTTTCTGTGAGGAAGGAAATAAAGCACTAACACAGGAACTCGGAGGTATAGTTACTGTTTATTTAACCATGTACAGACTGGGGTTCATTAGTTGGCTTGGTGGGAAGTCCTAAATGCAGAGGGTTTTTT